GACTATATTTTAAAAGAGCATATAATTATGCATATAAATGTCTATTTATTTCATGGCTTGGCTTCCAATTCCAAAAGCAACAGAACTTTCAGTCTGGAGAGGATGTCAGGGATTTTCTAGCCCAAGATTTCTCAACGTGTGTCCCCTAGCAGGTTAAACGGTCGGTGTGGACGGTCATGTACATGATCAGATAAGCACGGGAAAATGGAACCCACGCTTCCCTGCAGGACTTCTCAGAGCCTTTGTCAGATGATGCGCATTGCTACCTCCACAAGGCAGAGAGAGGGTGTGGTATTAGTCTCCTGTGGCTGCTGTAACAACTGGCCACACACTAGGTAGCGTAAAATAACACACATTTACTCCCTCACGGTCCTGGAGGCCTGAAGTCCAAAATCAAGGTGTCGGCAGGGACGTGCTCCATCTGAGGGCTCCTGGGGAAGATCCTTCCTTGGCTCTTCAAGCCTCTGACAATGGCCTCAGATGCTCCTTGGCTCGTGACTGCATCCCTCCTGCCTCTGCCTCTGCCTCCGCCTTCACACTGTGTCTGTGTTTCATAAGCCTTAATTTTCCTCTTCTCATGAGGACACCAATCATTAGATTAGGGCCCACCCTCCTGTAGTCTGACCTCATTTTAACTTGATTACATCTGCAAAGACCCGACTTCCAATAAGGTCATGCTTACAATTCCAGGCAGGTGTGAATTTGGGGGGCACAAAAAATTCACCCCAGGATTGATGGAAAGACCTTGGAGGCTTCTGAGTGGAGGAGGCACGGGAGCTGACCGATGTCAGATTTTCTCAGGATCCCTCGGTCGGCTGTTTTGGGACAGACTGTAGGGGTGAGGGGGGCTCACAGGGAGAGCAGCGAGGGACCGCTGCATGGTCCGGGTGAGAGCAGCTGGTGGAAAAGGCAGAGGCGGTGGAGGTGGAGAAGTGGTTAGCCTCAGGCTGCATCTTGAAGGAGGAGCATTAGGTGACTCCGTGTTTGGATGTGAGACGTCAGAAGACAAGGCCTCAAGGATGGCCACCATGTTTTCAGTCTTAGACGCTGGGGTAGCAGAGGGGCCCTCAGTGCAAGGAAGCCACTAGTTACAGACATAGTTCCTGGCAGAGGGAGGTGGATTAGCATGAGGGATGGTCCTCAGGTGTAGCTTGGACTTAAAAGCAGAGCCGACACCCCACGCCGCAGCTCTTGTTTCCAGAAGAAAGTTCACCAAGATCTGTGTACACTGGCCTCCACCCCTCCTGCCAGTCACCTCCCGACACTCCTGCCCCAGGGACTCGACACTCCATTCACACCCCACTTTCAGTCTCCCACTGCCTCCCTGTCAACATGAGACGCTGTCACTCTTGGAGCCTCAGTGTCCTCTTCTGAAATATGGCTTCCAGGGCTCAAAGGTGGTCCTGCTGTGGGTGCCCTCCCGGGCCCTGCGGCTCTGTGGAAGTAGGACCCAGCCCACATTCACCATCCCCACAGGGCCTTCCCGGCAGCTGGGGTGTGCCTGGGGTATTCTAGGGAGGGGCGGGCTGGCCCTTCCAGGAGGGGGCGTCGCCGTGGGCGCTGCCAGCAGACAACAGGGTCTGCACAGTGCAGAGTGGTCCCTCAGGTGGTTTTCCGTGGCTGCGCGGCTCGGGCTGGGCTGACCAGTTGGGCTCAGCGCATCCTGCGGGCACAGCCTCAGGCCTGGAACCCGTTTCTGTTCCGTCGGGGCTGTGGGCAGTTTACACTCATGAAAAAGAGTCGGGCTGCCCAGGCTGAAGTCACTTGCCAGCCCGCCACCCCGCAGTGTCAATTCTCAAGCTCGCCACATAGCAGGTTACGGAGCCACAGTCGACTGTCCTAATTTGAGCTCCGAAATGTCTGTGGACCTCTCCCTTTTGCCGGGAATTTAAAGGACTTGGTCCAACCTCTGGGCAAAAAGGAGGCTGTCCTACATTCCGGGCAACTGCCTGGTCTGGGCAGCAGAAGACGTGGGTGTGAACTGCTGAGGAATTTCTCAGGCCAGGTGTCAGGGTCTCAGAGGCTCAGTTTTCCCGTCTGTGAAATGGGATATCTCTCCCACGTGTTCCCAGTGCTGGGGTGGCTCAATGGCTTTCGGGCTTTGCTCTGTGGAGAACCCTGGATGAGGGTAGGAGGGAGGGGACTCTGAGCGCTGCTTGCTCTCTTCCATCCCTTCCTGCCTCAGCCAGAACAACTCTGGTTGGTCTTCCAAGTAAACATTCACTTGAAAATATTCCTTGAAATAAGAGATGTACAAAACCCACTGCCCAGCAGTTCAGGATCTCATGGCTCTGACGTCCAGTTCAGGGCCTCTTGGGCTGTGTCAGAGGCAGGAGGGCAGAGGGAGCTGGGGCATGGGGCACAGCTGGGGCCTGGCTCTGTCCACCTTCCTTTCCAGCCCTTGGGGAGCTGTGCTCCTCTTTTATCAGTCACGTAATGCTGGGTGAGCTGCCAATCACAGGGCCCCACCCCTGAGTGAACAAGTGATCCAGGCCCAGCCAATCATAGAACTCCTGCCCTCTGGCCACAGTGATAGTGCCAAGGCACAGCCATGTGACTAAGGCTGGCCAATCAGGGTCCTTTCCTGGAACATCTATATTCTGAAACAGGAAGAGAGATGTTCTTCCTTCTCTTTTTTTTTATCAAGCTAGAGGACCTAAGCCTGAGGCTATGAGCACCATGTTTCCCACTGCTGGGAGAAAACCTGTTTAAGAGAAAATGAGGTCCCCACAGAAACCCCAAGATGGGGATAGACAGAGACAGAGATCTCACGGCACTGAAGTTCCTGCTTACAGCCTTCATGGCTCCCAGAGTGGCCTTTGGCTGGAAGCCTCTTCTGGCTGGAGTTTCTGTCACTGACAAACACAGCATTCCGGCCTGACCCAAGACCAGTGGAAAAGGTCGGGAAAGCTCACTTGGCAGTAAAGCTCCCAGATGGATCTTTAAGCTCTGGAGTGTAAGTGTAAGCACAAACTTTGCTTTTTATTTACTTATTTATTTAGTGGTGTCCTTCCCCTAAGAAACTAAACACAGTTTGCAGCACTCAGACAGCACTGGAGACCGGCTCAAGGGGTGGAGGAAGGGGAGGCAGGAGCAGCAGGCGCAGGCTGAGCCCGTTTATGTGGGACGTGACCATTGGCGCCAGCTGTGCTCCAACCCTCTTGATGGTGAGCAGACTCTAAGAGTTTAAGCGCGCCCCCAAAATCACACACAGAGCATGGGAAGTAGGCCCTGACACAGAACCAGCTCTTTTAACTCCAGAGTCCATGTTCCCAGACTTTTGAATTTCACAGAAATTCAGAAAAAAATCTTTTGAGAACCTACAAAGGATCAGTAAACTTCCATGGCATCTCTCAGCAACATCCCTTCAGAGAAAGACAGTTTAACCCCCAACAATAAAGGAAAGACATAAACTGCAAGTAAAGGCCAGTCACTGCGTTTGGATATGTTCAGTCTGATTTTCTCATGTTTCCTCCAAGCGTTGACTACTGGGAAATGGGTGACAGCAGGCAGTGGGTGTGTGGGTGTCCTGGGGCCACCATAATGAAGTGCCACAAACTAGGGGATCTTAAAACAGCAGAAATGTATAGTTCTGGAGGCCAGGAGTCTAAAATCAAGGAGTGGGCAGGGCCGAGCTTGCTCTCTGAAGGCTCCAGGGGAGGGCCCTTCCTCGCCTCCTCCAGCTCCTGGTGTTACCGGCAATCTTTGTACTTTCAGGGCTTGTGTACATGTCACTCCAATCTCTGCCTCCATTGTCACCTCTCTTTCTCCCCTGTGTGCCTGTATAAATTCCTCTCCTATAAGGGCACCAGGCATTAGATTAGGGCCACCCTAATCCAATGAACTCAACATGATTATATCTGCAAAGACCTTATTTTTTGTTTTATTTAAATATTTTTGTAATTTGGGGGGCAATATCTTTTCCCACTAACTCATATCAATTCATCCTCTGCCTGGTGCATTCCTTTTTTTTTTTCCCCTAATGGAGGTCCTGGGGGTTGAACCCAGGACCTCGTGCATGCCAAGCATGTGCTCTACCACTGAGCTAATTCCCTCCCCTGCAAAGACCCCATTTCTAAAGCCCCATTCACAGGTTCCGGGGGTTAGGACTGGAGCAGATCTTTTTAAGGGACACAATCCAAGCTGGCAGAGTGGGCCAGCATCATGAGGCATCCCCACTCCAACGTCCTTCCCCTGCTGACAGCAAAGTGCGAAAAAGGCCGAGCCAAGGGACAGTTCCCTCCCAGCTCTGGGAGGAGGGTTGGACTGCCAGGGACAGCTGGGGACCCCTGGCTGTCTGATCTTTCCTCACATGTTTCCCTTCCAAGGAGGTCACCCAGCTGCCCACTGGCAAAACCAGGCCAGGACACAGAGCTTTAGTGCTGGGCCAGGGCTGGACCGTGACCTGAACGTCTTCCTGGGGAGGGCACTCAAGGCCTCCGCCCCAGGCCAAGAAACAGGTCAAGCCAAGGGGGAAGATTTACAGCTGTGGGAAATTCACACCTTGGCCTTTTGGATGGCAGGAGGGTTTGACCTTGACATGAGGGCCCCTGTGTGACTTCCCAGGCCACATGCAGAGACACAGCTGCAGTCACCATCCTGGCCTGATCCTTGGTCCTCTGGACGGGGACTAGAGTTGGCTCACGGGCTCTCTGGAGACTGACATTGCCAGGGGACTTGTCACCTGAAACTCCGTGCTTCTGAGAGGGGTTGGTGACCAGCTTGAAGCCACACAGCAATCAGAACTGATGTGAGAGGCTGCCTCCCATTTCTGCCAATGAAAGCCTTTTACCCACTGAGATGGCATCTATTTTTGCCCTTGGGAACCCAGGGTTGCGTTTACAATGGTTTTATAGAACACAGAGGAAGAAAACATCACCCACTTAGCAGCCAGACCTGTGGGACACCTGATGTTTGGGAAAAGGTGACAGAGAGGTCACACTGACTCAATGCCTACTGTGCACCATGAACTTCAAAGCTCACCTCCTCGCCCTTCTTACCTGTGAGCAGCTGAGGCCCAGGATGGCTGAGTCAGCCAAGGGTTCCCATCCCTTCTCAGGCCCTCTCAGGATGTCAGTTCATCTTGCTGAGCCTCAGCTTCCTCACCTGTAAAATGGGATCACAAGCTCAGTGTCACACATGGTCATAAGGATTAGGGAGCCCATCCCAGGAACGGGCACACAGTAGGTGCTCAAGAAAGGTGAGGCTCTGATTTGTTATTGCTGCTGTAATAAATTCCACACACTTAGCAGTTTCAGCAACACACACTCATTATCTTCAGTCTGGAGTCATTCAGCCCAGGTCTCAGTGCTCTAAACCAAGGTGTCACGGGGCCAAGTTCCCACTTGGGGGTCCAGAGGATGGGCTATTCCCAACCCTTTCCAGTTTCTAGCCAGGGCCGGCATTCCTCAGTTCATGGCCCCTTTCTCCACCAACACTGCATCCCTCTGACCTCTCTTCCACCGCCTCGGCTTTCTCCCACTGCAGCTGGGAAAGGGTCTCTGATTTCAAGGACCCACATCATTCCAGATAACCCAGAATCATCTCCACATCACAAGGTCCTTAACTCAATCACATCTGCACAGTCCCTTCTTCCCATGTCAGGTCACATATGCACAGGTTCTGGGAATTAGGGGGAGGGCATCTTGGCCGGGGTGGGGGCAGGGGGCAGGCCTTACTCCGCTGACCACAGGTGAGTTGAGTTGAATTCCACAGAGCAAGAGATGCCTGGGCTGGCCTTGGCAGTTCTTTTTTGGAAGAAGACGATTCCACTAAAACCAGCTCATTCAAGGGCCTTTCCTATCCCTGCTGTTTCTGACTCTCTTCAAAGAGGCACTGTCTAGCCAAGGAGACAGGCTCAGGGCTGCCAAACCTTTGCTTCAAAATAAACCCAACTAGGAAATTTCCACGGGACCAGGCCATTTTCTCCCCCTACAAACCGGACTGAAATCCCAAACCAAGCAGGGCCTGTTGCAGAAAGACCATCAGACTCCAAGTTCTTCTGAGAATGGGGTTTTTGTCGTTGTTTTGGCATTTTCCCCCCCTGGCAAACTAAGTCGCACTAGCTGTACTATGCAGGCAGAGTGAACCAGTTTAGGACATCACCCTCAACTTAGGAAAGGGTTTCACAGTTCTCATCCTCAAAAGGACCTAATCTGTCCCACCACCCAGCTTACATTCTCCAGGATTCCTCGTGCTGCCTTCAAAGAGCTCTCAGCTATTCTGCCGGTTCTGCACATGTGCAAGGAACAGATTTTATGCCAACACTGAGGCAGGCACGTAAACCCAACTTGCCTAACATACAGCATCTTCTGATTTGCTGTGATTCATCCAGAAAGTCACTATTTACAACAGGCTCAGCATCGGAGGCTTTTGCCTGGGAGAGATGCACTTGTTTTGGAGTTCAAAACAGGTTGACAGGGACATCATCATCTCAGGAGTTCTCCCAACAGTTCTGGGGTTCCCACTTCCCTGATGAGGAAACAGGGTAGAACAGGGAGGGGCCTTGGTCATGGTCACTCAACTGATAAGGGACAGGGCTGGGTCTGAAGCTGGGTGCTCTGACTTTTAGATCGTCCCAATTTCCTGCGGCGGACAGTACTCCTTCTCCCTTGTGAGGCTGTGATAGGATAAGAAATATATATTTGGTCTTTGTCCTGCTTCCTGGCACAAGAGCTCCTGATACTTGTGTAATTTCCTGATATAGGAGACAGGAGAATCTTTGGTTATTCTTAACATGCCCCTCTCAACCATACCTGAGTTTATGCTGATGAGGTGACCCCTGGTGGCCCCCAAAGAGCTTCAGCGTGGGGGACTGGTGGTGGGAGAAGCCACCCACGGGATTAGAGGGTTGGAACTCGCAGCCCCATCCCCGACCTCCAGAGAAGTGATCGGGGGGAATCACCAACGGCAGATGATTTAACCAGACATGCCTGTGTAATGGACCTCCATGACAACCCTTCTGAGTTGGGGAACGTGTCCATGCATCACGAGGGTGGTATACCCCCAACTCCTGGGGGAAAGAAGCTCCTGCACTTGGGACACTTCCAGACCTCCCACTATGAACTTCTTCATCAGGCTGTTCATCTCTATCTCTTATGAGAAACCAGTAAATGTAAGGAAACTATATCCCTGAGTTCTAGGGGCCATTAGAGCAAATTATCGAACATGAGGAGTTCCCTCCCAGGTGATTCAAATGCGTAATCAGTTGTGAGAACGACTCTCCAGGCCATGGTTCTCCACTGGGGGCAGTTTTGTCCCCCAGGAGACATTTGGCAACGTCTGGAGACATTTTTGGTTGTCACCACTCAGAGCTGCGCTGACAGTATCTCATGGAGAGAGGTTGGGGATGCCACTAAATACCCTACAGAACACAGGGCTCCCCCGGCCCCAGCACACACATACACACACACACACACACACACAAACAAGGAATCAGCCAGATAATGGAGGTTCAGACCCTATTGTGGCCATAACTCACGACCAGACGCATGAATAACCCACCTGCATGTAAGCTGCAGCTCCCAGGTCCTGCTTGGAGGGGTGCGACAGGCCGACGGTGCTGAGGCTGAGACGTTTGCTCACTCTGGCTGGCCCTGGAGAGGGCAGCCTGCCCTGTGGAGAACATGGAGTCTGCATTTGAGCTGACCTCAGCTGTGGATCTTCAGCTGAAGCTCCGAGGCTACCTCTCCCCACCCCTTCAGTCCTCTCTTCCTGAGGCTGTTGGCTCCAGGGAGACAGAAAGCCCTCAGAGGATGGGGACTATGTCTTAGCTGTTGCTGCAGATATTTGATAAATGAACAGCTGCACTGGCTTCACAGCCCATCCTCTGGCCCCAGGTAGCGCTTCCAAGCGGCACTGTGCAGGGAGCACTGAAGTGACTGCCTGTGACACATGGATACAAAGTTCCAGTGGGCAAGCTTCCCACCAATTCCGTCCCCAGGGGACGTTTAGTGGCGTCGCAGTGGCAATCTCATGGGATCCGTGTGTGATGGAGACTGGTGAGCTGTTCACCACCCCCATTTCCTCTTCCTCCGGGACACACAGCTGGACATCTCCCAGCATCCCTTGCAGTCAGGTGTGATCACATGATGGAATTCTGACCAATGGGGTTTGGGTAGAAGTCACATGTTCCTCTTAAAACCCTCCCACATCAGCTCTTCCCTGCACTGTCCCTACCCATCAGCAGGAAGCAGAAGGCTCCTGTGGGGTGGCTGAGAATTCCCTGCATTCAGTTCCTAAACTGCCCCGTGGAAAAGCTGCCCACTTAACGTGCTCTGCATTATCGAGTGGAAAACAAACTTCAGTTGCATTTAAAGTCTTTGAAATCAGGAGACTTGCCTGTTACAGCAGCTAAAGTGCCCTTAACTAGTAAAACATGCTTCTGTAAATTGGGGTGGGGGAGGGATCAGGTTTCAATCCCACTCCCAGTTAAGATCTGATTCCTCCCTCCAAAATGCAGAATGAGGAAGAGGATGCCGAGTTTGCAGGAAAAGCACAGCTGCCAAGGAGACCAGTGAATAACCTGTAACTTGTGAGCACTGGGCTGGCACTTCTCAACCTGTGCAGCGGGGCTGTCGAGATACACATGATGACTCAAATGTGCAAAAATGAGTGATCATTCTTTGCTCTCGTTTTCAAAATCTATATAATATTTAACTTATTTACACATACGTGTTAAAAATCATATTAGAGACTTTAGAAATACCACTGTTTCCTGCTCTTACATTTTAGGAAATCATTCTATGCAAACTGTCCTCTGGCTTTCGCACCACAGCTTTGTCATCCTTAGAGCCACGCTGCTCTTCTGTCACTTGCATTACGATATCTGAGTTGTGGGACTCTTTGAATCCGGATGTTACTGTGATCACTCCTCAGCTTGGCAGTTTCCTGATCCTTGTTCATGGTCACTGTGCCCCTTACAGTGGTGACCCCTTCCCCCAGGAGCTGGCCAGCCTGCCCTCTCAGCCCTATTCCACATTCCCCCCAGGGCACACGGAACTTCTCAAACACAGCACGCCCTACATGAGCCTTGGGAGGCAGGGGTCTTCTCTCAGGTCCCGCAGTCTGCTGTTTCTGTTCTGCCGTTTGGGGCCATTAGGGAAGTGATGCTGGGCTGTGAGGTCCTGGGTCTCTTTGCCTTCAAATCGCCTCCTGGCCTTTCCCTTTCTCTGCCTCATAGCATTCCTAAGAGCTGCATTTCTCAGGGGACTGGGTCAGCTGAGTGGAGCCAAAGGAAGGCTGTGGAGAAGTGGGGTGCTCCCTCCTCCCCTCGCAGTGACACTCCTGATCTCCTCCTTAGCTCCTGCACTTCCTCCTCCTCCTGCGTCTTCAGCCTGAGAACCAAGGTGGCATCCTGTGGTTACTGAACTGCAGGTCACTTCACAGCTCTGTTGGGCTACTCAGCCGTTCCATCATCTGCATCACCAATTCCCTGCATTCAATTCCCTTTGCTGAAATGCCCAGGGGGTGTCTGTTTCATGGGCTAGCCCTTGATTGTTACTGGGCTCTCTGCCATGGGCCCCTTTCCAGGCCCACTCAGGGGAAGCGGAAAGGCTGCACAGGGCCTCCATCTCCCTGGGGAGGGCTGCAGCCAGGCTCCATCTCTCCCGCTTGCCCCACTCCCCACCTCTTCCTCTCCACGTGCTTTTCTCTTCTGTTGGCTGCCTCTTGCACCCCTTCAATCTGAGTCACACTGAGCTCAGTCTACACATGTGGAAGAGAAACCCCAGTTCTGGGAATTCCAGGAACGTTTACTCACACTTGAAAGCCCGGCTTGCAAGACCACTGTCTCACCAAGGATTAAAAAAAAAAAACTCTAAAAAGTTATTTTCCTGCTCAAAGCTGAGTGTTTACACCTTTGTATTCATTCTTCACCACCCTGAGCAGTAAGCCACATTTCATGGCCTGGCTGTGACAGCCGAAGGGGTGCTGATGAGGGCACCCTAAAAGAAAATTACTGAGCTATTTTATAATCTTCTCCTATAGAAGTAAAGCCAGGAGCCAGCAAGGAACAGCACACATTCAGGGGAGAAAACCTTCTGTAGAAATTGGTGAATCTGTGGTTGTGGCTATGTGCCTGGTCTCTCCTGAAGGGCAGAGATACTGGTGATTGGGAAGGGAAATGAGGTTCCGGATGAGACGGAGGTTTGAGTCCATGACCACCCCTTTGGCACTGTCAGACTTTCCAAAAATGAAGGAAGGAAAATATCTCCCCTCCTTTTCCAAAAAGCTCAGTTGGCCCAATTCATTCTGTCTGAAAATAAAGAAGAAAAGCAGCTGATAAACGTCTCCTGCATGAGGCTGTCCTTTGAGGAAGAACCCAAGCTGTGACTCATCACCCGCCTGTGATAAGCATTTGCAGCTTTAACAGAAACCGGCCACAAGCATACAAGGGAGGGTAGGGGCAGCCGCCGCCAGGTCCCCTTCCTCTGGCTGCTTGGGGTTTATCTGCCTTCAGTAATGCAGGGGATTAGAGCTGCTGTCACTCCATCGCCTCTCCTTGGGTCTGTCTGTCTGTCTGTGCAAACACTCCCAAGCACACACCCATGCGAGGTCTGAGATTACCCAGGATGGGTATGGGAAGGTAGTCAGGACCCCACCCCTCCCCGTGCGGGACGTCTGAAGTCAGACTCAGACCAGGCACCCGGTGGAGAAAACCCAGGCCAGCCAGACCTTTTGTCATTTGGGTCTGCTCCACACAGTGCTGGCAGGTCCGTCTGGTGTCTCCTGGACAGCATGGCTTGGTGACATGCCATCTTGGAGGCTGGCTTCTGTGAGCTGGGTCCACTAGCATTAATAGGGCAGGCAGTCTTAGCAGGATTGTCTCTCCAGGCCCTGCAGGGAAGGCTTAGAACCAAGCCCAGGGCAAGTCCTGGCCCCAAGCACTGAAGTTGCCACTCATCGCACGGCCACCAGAGGGCGCTTCGAGCATCTCCACTCCCTTTCCAAGACCTTTCATGACTCCCCGTGGCTCTCAGGAGTCAGGCCAGCTTCATAACCCACTTACAAGGCTGTATTCCTGCAGACCTTTCCAGCTTCATCTTGCTCTCCATGCACTCTGCTCCAGCAGTGATGGCTTCCTCCCAGTCCTGGAAGGGGACACATCCTGTGTCCACAGGGCTTTTGCAATCCCTCTGCCCACTTATCGGAGGCTATTGTGTTCACTTTCACCTAGAGAACCCCAGTCCTCATTTAGCTTTCACCTTAAGCACCAGCTCAGTTGCAAAGGGAGTCCTTCCAACACCCAATGAGGATACGTGGCCCTGTTGGCCCCCGGGCACTCTGCACTTTTGGGCAGCAATTGCCATAGAAGCAACTAAATTATTAATTCTGTTGTGCCTTGTCCACTGTCTGCCTCCGCAGGTAGACCATCAGTGTCTGAGTCCACCCTGTTCACTGCTGACCTCCAGGCCCACACAATGCCCTGCAGTGATGGTAGACATTAGTGCCACTCACTGAATATTTCTGGACCTCACTCTTTGGGGTGCCTGGTAGGGTTGCATTTTCCACCCTCTTGTGGTGGGAACATGTCACTGCCCAAGCAAGAGCATTTCATTGCCAATGTGACCCTTGCAGGGCAGTCCAGATGGTGGCTGCTCCTTTAGCTGGGGTCCCTTAGTACCTGCAGACCTCTCCTGCCCCCTGTGAGGGACCTGGATAAGAAGCAGCCTGCCACCTGACCCATCACCTGCTCCTCACATAGAAAAACCTCAGATCTCAAACACACACACAAACGTATACACTCACATCCCAGAAACACATAGATATACACAGACACACGTGCCTGGACATTCCCGCCACCTGGGAAGTGCCCAGCACACAGTCAGTACTCAGCAAGTATCTATTTAGCAAAACAGTAAGTCATTAAATGAGTAAATTACTAGATCAAGTTCATGCTTACTATGCCAGGGGCTGGAGGAAACCTCAAAACACAGTGTCTTAGGCGTTCAATTGACCACATACCTTTCTAACCAAGGTGAGGTGGAATTAAAGTATGATCAAGACAAAAGAGCCAGTCTGGCCAAGCTCCCCCTCTGGCCCTGCCTCTGCGGGTCCCACCCAGCATCTGCCCTGCAGCCCGGCCGCACTGCTCTGCTTCTTGTAAAGAAGAAGTGAGCGCGGGCGGGTGGCGGGCAGGAAATGGCTTACAGATGGCAGGTGGGCCAAAGGCAGCTAAAAACGGGCCAGTGCAGGGGGTCATTTAAAGGCTCAGTAGGATGAAAGCCCGAGCTGGCCCAGCCCAGGCTACAGCTGAGCAAGCAACAGGCAGGAGGCGTTCACGGCGCTTTTTTGGGCTGGACAATGTCTTTTTAAGTGGAAGCGTCAATCGGCTTTGAGAAGAAGACTCAGTCCTTGAAGAGAGGCCAAGGCTTTCCCTGGCCAACAGCCTCAGCTGCACATGGGCTGACCCAACTAGGATACTGGCTCCTGCCTGGTATTAGGAAGTCTGGGGCCTCAAGGAGTCCCCAAAATGGGGCAGAAGTTTTGGCCCAGGAGGAGGCAAGATGCACGATTCCTTCCTTCTCTCCTCCTTTTTGCCTTCTTGCTGTCTTGTGTTCCGTCCTCCCCGTCTCTCGTTCTGATTTTTCTCTTTCACCAAATATTGATTAAAT